CACAATGGCAGACCACAGTTTTACATAGAAATATAAAGGAAAATTCTTTAAAAATCTTCTTCTCAAGAATAGAAAAGCCATAACTGATCATATTTATATGGAAGCATCCTCAGGTAGTGTAGATTCAAGTTTGTTCAAATCATGACCCCCGGGGGAAGGGCGGGGCCAAAATGGCCGACCACAATTTTACATAGATATATATAGGAAGATTCTTTTAAAAATCTTCTCAATAATAGCAAAGCCATAATTGATCATATTTATATGGAAGTATCCTCAGCTAGTGTAGATTCAAGTTTGTTCAAATCATGACCCCCGGGGGTAGGGCGGAGCCAAAATGGCCGACCAGAGTTTTACATAGAAATATATGGGAAAATTCTTTAAAAATCATCTTCTCAAGAATAGCAAAGCCATGATTGGTCATGGGACTATTTTTGGATTTAAACTTTTCAATAATAAACCAATTGCTACTTTTTCCTAGCCACAGTGCTCAGGTGAGCGATGTGGCCCATGGGCCTCTTGTTCTTGGTTCTTCTTGAATAAAATACCATGCAAGTTGTATCGCACCTTAACCCCACGTGCTTGTTCTTAACTGTTAATTATTATATCTTTTAGTGGTAGAAAATGAACTTCGTTTTTAAGGAGAGCAGAGAGTCATCAAGAAAAAAAAATTGTCAAGGAAAAATATCGTTAAAAATGATATTACAACTAAATTGGAAGTGACAGGTCTTTCGGTGAAAAATTTCTGGATTCACACACCAACTCCAGGTTGTGACATGACCCGGCGAGTTTTCCTTTGAAGTCAAGCATACTGTAACTGCGATACAGAACACTTTTTTGTGGGCGTTTCTTATGCAAATGAACAGAAACTGTACTGTATCTGCAAAATATCAAAGATACAGTACGGTTTATTTTTAGCGATGACGGAAAGCTGTATCCATGTTCAGACACAACAATCGTTCAATTCGCATGATAGCAATGTTAGTAATTACTCAAAATTTGAGGTGATTTTATTGAGAATAAAATTTTACAAAATAAACTTATGTGTCGGATTAAAAAAAATTAGAAAGGAGGGAGTGGGGCAGTTCAAAAAGGATTACTTTGAACACCCCCCCCTGAAAATCGTATTTCGGGGGGGGGGGGTTAGTAGGTTTATAATCAATTGCAACCAAGACACTATGTGCGTGAAATCGTTACTTGTTGATAAATTAAAAAGAGTATATATTTACGATTGGCAAAAATAATTTACAAAAGCGAAAAAAGAAATTAAAAAACCTTTAAGTCGGGTGGGATGGGGGGGCACCTGTGAGTACCGGATCCCCCTTTGGTTACTCTACATTTTATTTAAAACATGAAAGTAAAATACCCCCCCCCCCCGCCCCCGTTCCATTCATTTGTTTATTTCAATTTAGTATATGATGACAGGTGGAGGATATTGTCGGAGATTTCTCTCAGAATACGATATCCCCTAAGCATTTTTGTTTCAAAATACGATTCTTATATAGAAAAATGTTTTGCATTGATTCGTAATTTAAATTAAAAAAAAATGTCAGCAAGAGCCGAATAGATAAAAAAAACCTACCCAATCAAATCTAAATTAATTTTTTGGAAAACAAATTATATAATGCATCCCACAAATAATTAATTTTAAAATAATAGTAAATAATTACCTGCACGTCCACCTCACTCGGCATTTCAGTTGCGAATGCTTGAAATGGGATACTAAATCAACTTTCTGCTAAAATCATCTGATTGGTTGAGAGATATGTATCCAAATATGAATGTAAATTGGTGAGGTCATTAGAAAGGTCATGTCATAAGTCATTTAGAATACTCGTTTCCTACTGTATCAGAGATACAGGGCGGGGCCCGGCTCGAGCTATCGCTCTCGCCTCAAGCCTCGCCCTGTATCTCTGATACAGTAGGAAACTCGCGATCGTACTCTAAATAATACTTAAAGCCACAATTACCTAAAACTAAAGTCAACATGAAATGGTTCAGAATGAAGAATAATTAATAATTCAGTAGTAATCTTAGGTCAAGAGATGTAACAGTTGTAAGAAGATAATGTTATTTATTTAAAAACTTTTAAAATGACACAGGATTTTTTTTAAAAACGATTTCATACTTAATTCTTATTGATGGAATTTGTTACGGGTACATGCATATACACTGTACATGACATGTATACAGTTGTGACATGACCCGGCGAGTTTTCCTTTGAAGTCAACCGTACTGTAACTGCGATACAGAACACTTTTTGTGGGCGTTTCTTATGCAAATGAGCAGAAACTGTACTGTATCTGCAAAATATCAAAGATACAGTACGGTTTATTTTTAGCGATGACGGAAAGCTGTATGATTCATATTCAGACACAACAATCGTTCAATTCGCATGATAGCACTGTTAGTAATTACTCAAAATTTGAGGTGATTTTATTAAGAATAAAATTTTACAAAATAAACTTATATGAGTGTCGGATTCAAAAAATTTAGAAAGGAGGGAGTGGGGCAGATCAAAAAGGACTATCTTGACCCCCCTAAAAAACCCCTGAAAATCGTATTGGGGGGGGGGGTAGGTTTATAATCAACCAAGACACTATGTGCGTGAAATCGTTACTTGTTGATAAATTAAAAAGAGTATGTATATACGATTGGCAAAAATAATTTACAAAAGCGAAAAAAGAAAAAAAAAACTTTAAGTTGGGTGGGATTGGGGGGGGGGGGGGGCAAGTGTGAGTACTGGACCCCCCTTTGGTTACTCTACATTTTATTAAAAACATGAAAGTAAAATACCCCCCCCTTCTTTCATCTGTTTATTTCAATTTTGTGTATGATTACAGGTTAGAGGATATTGTCGGAGGTTTCTCTCAGTATACGATATCCCCGAAGCATTTTTGTTTCAAAATATGATTCTTATATATAAAAATGTTTTGCATTAATTCATAGCTTAAATAAAAAAAAATGTCAGCAAGAGCTGAATTGAGAAAAAAAAAAGAAACCTACCCAATCAAATCTAAATAATTTTTTTGGAAAACAAATTATATAATGCATCCCTCAAATAATTATTTTTAAAATAATAGTAAATAATTACCTGCACGTCCACCTCACTCGGCATTTCAGTTGCGAATGCTTAAAATGGGATACTAAATCAACTTTCTGCTAAAATCATCTGATTGGTTGAGAGATATGTACCCAAATATGAATGTAAATTGGTGAGGTCATTAGAAAGGTCATGTCACAAGTCATTTAGAATACTCGTTTCCTACTGTATCAGAGATACAGGGCGGGGCCCGGCTCGAGCTATCGCTCTCGCCTCAAGCCCCGCCCTGTATCTCTGATACAGTAGGAAACTCGTACTCTAAATAATACTTAACTTATAGGTATAATCGAAACAGTTCAAGTATTCATATGATCATATATAATTATCAGATGACGCCTATGGTGCATAGGCGTCAGAACCCCCTTTTTAAAGTGGTATGGGGGAATGGATCTTAAAGAAATCCCCCCCACAAACACACACTAAATAGGACGTGTTTTTTTTTTATTGCTTGTCAAGTTTTTTTTTTTTTGGTAGGTTTCTCTTTCATTTATCCCACCCCCCCCCCCCACTTTCAATTTGCTTCCAGTTTTTTTTAATCGTTAATTAATATTATTCATTGAAGTAAATACATTGTAATACTATATTACATCTAGTTACAGATATTTGTGAAAAAAAGTACTTGTAACTTTAAAAGAAACACTTTTAAAAGATGTAGGGAAATAAAACATTTCTAGTGCCTCTTAGTGCGTCATTGACCAGGTTCAAGAAAGGTTATTAGCCTTTATTTAAAATAGGTCGTGGAATACATTCAGTGACGTATATAAATAAGTCCCTGATTCAATATCCTTTAATTTTTTTTTACATTGGGCGCTTATTTCGATTTGCCGAGGACCCCCCCCCCCCCCCTCCCCGAGAGTTTTATAATTTGCGTAGTAAAATCTCCATAGAATATTACGGATCCTTCCTTGTCCAGATAACTTTTAATGGTATATAAAAATAGTTATATATGTAGGAATAATTTAAGTCATTTAATATGTACTACTATATATAATAAACACATACAAAGAAAAGCGAGTTTTCCTTCCACCCCGCCCCACCCTAAATCACAATTTTTTTTTCTCTCTTTGGCTTGACAAAAAAAATGAGTTTGCTTTTAGTGAATAGCCGGCTTCCATTTTGAAAAAAAATCCTTTATCCGCGCATGCATTTATTGGAGGTATAGTCCAAGTCGATTTTGTTTTATTTAAAATCAACACAACCTTTATAATGTATCCTCTTCATCATTTAATACATTTTCAAAAAGAAATGATTGTATGGTCACTTCAAAGATTTACTATATAATGGGAAAACGAAATATCCAACTTAATTAACAATTAAGAAGGAACAGCTCTAATTAAGGGAAATTAAAGACTTGAGTTATATTGCAGTAAAAATTAATATAGGCCTATTGATGAATATTTTCCTGAAATGCATTTACTTTTTATCTAAATTCATTTATTTTATGTTGTACGTAGTTGATTTGAACATATCTTTTTTATCTATTTTTAGAATTATTTTATCAATTTAATATAATCCTGATAATATGTAATGTAACAGTTTTTCGTATGGACCAGTCCAAAAACTTGTGAAACGAAAGGAAAATTGGTATATAATGGTAATGCACAATCAGAACTGTCTCTATAGCTGTCATCATGAATTGCATCAGTGGTTAAGATCTTACTCTATAAATTATAATATAATGAGGCTTTTGATGTTTTCAATTCCTGTTTCGTAAACTTTGATGCATTGAGGGAAGAAAAGATCATGAACAGCCTATTATATTACGATGAAAGGATCTACATTTCTAAGTTTTCGCATACTAAAAATGCGTACACATGAACCCAACGACCTGTTCCGATAGTCACGTGACCATTTGCATTGTTTTGATTGGTTGCCATTTCCAGCTATCTATATTTAGCATTCACTTTTATATAACCTTGTTTACTTCACATGTAGTTACACGGGACTGACCATAGTCAACAATCCACGCCATATTTCACGAGACTAGCCATCGTAACAGACTAAAAAGATGAATCTCTTTGATTTTGGGCAAGGCATCACTTTGAAGGAACTTTTGGAGAACCCAGATTTGAAAAATCCACCCAAACTTAGCGGTAAGTGATCGTTAACTGCGATGTGTTTTTTGTAAACATCGTCATTTTCCTCGGCCATGTTTAGTGCAAATGTACTCAAGTTCTTGATGAAAACAGGATCCTGCTGTTTTTTAGATGATTTATCCATTCTATGATTAGATTTATCAGATTTCTGCATTTGCAAATCGAATGGCCAATATCATTATGGCAAGTTCAGGCGGAAATGTGCATATATAAAAAACAATATTTTTTAAAGAATCAGACATTGCCTCAATGCTCAATGCAATGCCCAATGATTGGGTGAGCCTAATATGAAATAAGCCTATATTGTTCTGAGCCCCTATATGTAGTCTTTTTTTTTGCAGATGGAACAGTGAAAGGAAAGGTTACAAGTGGTAAGATCGATTCATCTGCAGCCTTTCTGGGACCCAATCTCTGGAATAATCCTGACAACAATGACTTCAATCTGGAATTTATGGATCTGGATGAATTCCTGTCAGAGACTGGAATTTCTGTGGAGGACAACTCTAATACAGCGGATGGTATAAACCAGCCCATAAGTCCACCCGCTCCCCCTGGTGGTACGTTAAACCACAGTTTAATTGCGAAGTTTTCTGCAGATATTAATTATTGAGGGAAAAATGCATATATAGTGTTCCAGGTTTCAAACATTCTAATAAAATGTGTCCTAGCTGAATGCTTTCAATTCTTTTTCTGCAGATTTGGCTGATGTACTGCTCCCATTGATAGAATCCCCACAGAAGAAGGAAGGCTCTATTTCATCCCCTTTACCAGTCAGTAGTCCTGAAGTTTCCCCTCCCCAAAGTCCAGAAGTGCAGTACGATATTGACCCCAGCGATCTGGCCCTCGCCTCCATCCCAGGTAAGACGGAATTAGTGCTTGGGGGTAGACAAGTGGGAGGTCTATATTAACGTCAGAGTTTACAGTGTGAAAAACATCCAAGTGATTAAGATTAATCTTCAGGAGTTTGACCCATAGAAACTTAAATGAGAAAATGGTTGACAGCAATATAGTGATCTACATATGTAATTGCGTAGGATATTTCTGTGTTGCTTAGTTACAATATGAGAGTATCTATAGAAATTAATTTTTTTTCTGAGACTTGATTGCAATTTTTTCTATACCTGTGAAGTAAATAGCTACCATTAGGAAATGTTATGAGGTAAATGCCTTGCGCTGCAATGAGACTTGTCTGTTTAAAACATTTAATGTGACGCAAATTTTAAAACTTTCATAATATGTAGGTTATTACCGTTAATCATTTCAAGTCAAGTAGATAATTGAAGATTTATACATTTTTTTAAAAATTTTCAGTGTGTTTTAGTGTCACTGCATATATTGTAGGTCAGAATTTTGATCCAAAGAAAAGAAGATTCACTGAAGATGAACTGAAACCTCAGCCAATCATAAAAAAGTCACGAAAGGTAGGAATGAGGCAAATTTAATTCAATTATCAATGCTTAATTGTCACCATCATCTTATGAATTAATAAATAACTGTTCATTGTAATAAAAGGAAGAGTAAAGTTTAACAAGTTATGATGTTTAATAAGAAATCCCACTATGTATCTATGGAGGCAGCTAAAATAAAATTGATTTCTTGAAGCTTAAAATTCATGAAATGGTCGGAAATTATATCCCTCCAAATAAGAACTTGTTTATTGCACATGTATCTCAAAAAGGAAATAACCCAGCAATAATGGCATGCCATTGTCCCTTTGCAAGAAATCTTGTATGAAATGTGAAAATTGGCTGTAAATTGATTGTAAATAGAAGTAGAAATAAAATGACCTGTTATTATTAGGTGTATGTACCTGATGATTGCAAAGACCAGAAGTACTGGAGCCGTAGGAAGAAGAACAATGTCGCTGCCAAACGCTCACGAGAGGCGCGGAGGATCAAAGAAAACCAAATCGCACTGCGAGCGGCATACCTAGAGAAGGAAAACAACACTCTGAAAGAGGAACTGCGAAAACTGCAGCTGGAAAACACACAGCTCTCACAAAGACTTAAAAAGTATGAAGGGAAGTCACTCCTGCACTGAAGTGACAGAGTTGTCTCTTTTATGCAAGAGTATTGAGAAAAAAATCTCAGTGCTTGCCTTGGAAAAATGTTTTTCAGATAGTTGTTTTGTTACATACAACTTATGACTTCTACCTCCAAGTCACCTTATTTTCATCCATTTTTAAGCCACAGAAATTGTTTATAATCAGTTGTGCCACTCAGCATTTATATGCAAACTGTGGAGAACATATTTTTAAAAGCATATAGGGCATTAATTGTTTTGAATTCCCTGGTTATCCATGGCAATGTATGTAAACAATCTATTTGCGAGACAATCATTGTGAATAATCATATTTTATAGTCTATAGTCATCTTTTTGTAGAATCAAACGTAGTCATCATCCTATGCATTCATAGACATATGGTCATGAAATGTCGATCTGTATTGTACAACATGAATAAGTGGGTAATTAAAATCCACAAAGTCTCTTTTATTGTACAATTTGGGTCACCAGACACTCTGTGTTTTTAACAGAAGTATGTATATTACTTGTGGCAATACTTGATTTGCATTTGGAAAAACAAAGAAAGAAACAAAGAAAAAAATGAAAAAAAAGAAAAGAAAAAAAGTCGAAAAAAAAATAAACAAAAGATACAAAACAACAAGAAAAAAAAAGACAAGTAGTAATTTTAAAAAATATAGAGTTGGAGAAAATAGAGAAAAAGATTACGAAGGAAAAAAGGGGAGTGTAGAGATTTTATGTGACATACAAAATGTGTGAATTGTGCATACTTAAAGTACATGAGAAATGGCAATAGGTGTCTTAATTATATAATATAGACAACTTTTAACTATAGCTATAGGGGCTACCTGGGGCGGGGTACACTTATAAAAAATTCTTTTGTAGTTGTATCAGTTGTTAAAGCAGTAGAGATATTTTGCTGCCTTGGTAATCATGATATTGTTGTATAAAATGTTCCTTGTTTCTGATTTGTTAAAAAAAAATGTTTACATGGATTATTGCAAGGTACACAGTAATACATTGATATGTATTGTAAATCTGTTTTGCTGAGCAGAGTTAAATCTATACATTTTATAAATAACTTTTTTGGAACTCCTTTTCCTTCATTTTGGCTGTGATAGAGAGCCTTTTGTTTGTAAATTTATTAATTGTTTGTTGAAAAAAAAAAATAAATCTGTTTAAAATTGTATTATTTATTCGTCATTTATAAAAGAGAAAAGTACCTGGCAATTTAAGTGTATTATTTGATGAAATATTAATGATGAGACACTTTTAACGCCCTGCCAAAAAATGAAACTGTAGGTTTGAATATGAAATTGTTCTGTGATTGTTGACTTGGTTATATGTACACATTATAATGATCCGTTGTCTGAAACTTGGACACATGATCTTTCACAACTGATTAATGAAAATTAGCTTTTCAGTTATACATTACAAGGATGGCAAATTAAACAAAAACTAATTGTTTGGTCAGAAAAGATCTACTAGTTTCTCCATTAATTTAAATACGTTTTCAAATACATGTAGCGTATTTGATTACGTTTTCAAATATTGATGGCAGGAACTTGAGGGAGACGTTGAGGATTTGAGATTTTTCCTTGAGTCTGAGAATTTTTATACTCAAATGTTTGGAGGCAGTGAGGTCAGACAAGAACTAGTTTGGTTTGAGGAGCAGGATAAATTCCTAGAACAGACTAAACAAACTCGTCTTAAATACAAGAGATGTTTGTAAAACACTTATGCCCCCCTCCCCCCAAGTTGGAATTTTTCCAAGTCCAAAAGGGCATAACTCTGTCAAAAATGGTGCGATTGTACCCAAAACGGAACTTGACCTAGATATTTATCTGAAAAATCTGTATACCAAATTTCATTTCGGTATGTGCAACTGTTGCCAAGAAAATGAACAGAAACTGCAAATAATTGGATTTTTTCTAAGTCCAAGGGGCATAACTCTGTTAAAAATGGCGCGATCGTACCCAAAACAGAACTTGACCTAGATATTCATTTGATAAATCGGTATACTAAATTTCATTTCAGTATGTACAACGGTTGCCAAGAAAATGAACGGAAACTGCAAATAATTGGATTTTTTCTAAGTCCAAGGGGCATAACTCTGTTAAAAATGGCGCGATCGTACCCAAAACAGAACTTGACCTAGATATTCATGTAATATATCTGTTTCTCGCATAATCACCAGTGTAAGATTGACTTGTCCGGTGTGAGACAGCAGTGTGAGATTTTTCTGTCTTACACTGTGTATTACTACGCCACGAACGAGAACGTAAACATTCCGTCATTATATAAAGAAATTGTAACAAAGTAAAAAAAATATAACACATCATTAAACTGTTGTCATTTAACTTATTATTATAAACTTATTTTCATTCAAAATATTGTCGTATTTTCACCTTTTTAATGGCACTATTTTTAGATCGCGGAATGATTCTTCTTTTACGCTGTCGGATATATAAGTTTTTTATTCCCAGTTTTTATCTTTCTGATTAATTTACACGGACTGAAAATTATTTTATCAGTTTACACACGTGTAAACCATTTTCAGGTACGTTCTCTCCGATGGTGTATTCAGATTTTTAATTAGATGGAAAATTAAAAAATATTTTTTTATCCCCATCATGGCGACGTCATTGACAGGCCGTTATTTTGGATAAAATAATGCGAGAAAAATAATCATTCATTTCATTTCAGTATGTGCAACGGTTGCCAAGTAAATGAACGGAAACTGCAAATAATTGGTATTTTTCTAAGTCCAAGGGGCATAACTCTGTCAAAAATGGTGCAATCGTACCTAAAACAAAACTTGACTTAGATATTCATGTGATATATATCTGTATACCAAATTTCATTTCAGTATGTGCAACGGTTGCGAAGAAAATGAACGGAAACTAAATGGACTGACCGACAGACAGCAGCAAAGCAATATGCCCCCCTTCTCCGAAGGAGTGCATAATAATGTATAATGAGTACGGTATCAGCGCGATTTCGGGTTCCGATTGAGTACATTTATTCGTCTTAATAGAAATTTTATGAGTTAAGGTTGTATATACTAGCTGTCGAAATAAGTAAATTTTTCACCTGTCATTGACCTGGCACATGTGTTGTTATAACAGCTCACCAAGGTTAAAATACATGAGGTTTGCAACGTGAGTTAAAATTTAAATTGATAAGCAACAGTAATATGTTTGGAAATGACCATTGGCATTGTATGCGGTGTATGATTTTCATCGTAAACAATATTGAATCTATATTCCTGTCAGAAAGTGGAGAATTTAATAATGCCAGAAAGATGCATCGAAAGTCAAAGCACTTAATGGAGTTTTAGTTATGATTTTTACCTCTTTTGAGAAGCGTTGTAATGTATATACATGAAGAATCTTTAATAAATATCTTCTTAGGTGCAATCACCCCAGTCTACTGCCACCCATTCATCTCTGACGAATGCGATCAATGTTTCATTCGTCAGTTCTCAATTTTAAAAAAAAAAACTCTCCGAAAAATAAACTTTATTTTTAGATTTTTATTTTAATTCAATAAAAAATTGAAATATGCGACAAAGTGAACCATGTAAAGTAATTTGAAAAAAGCTTCCATTACATAATGTAACTTGTAAGGAATATCTTGTGCACAGTCATTCATGCAGTCTCTTATGTCCACCTCTTTTTCGATCCACTTTCAGAAGTCGTTTGGGTTCGAAAATCGACTTGTAAACTTATCGACATTTTCCTTACTGACTAATAAACGTGAAGCCTATGAAGAAGTCAGATTCCCCCCCCCCCCATTTCCACCAGGGTTATTAATCGTCCAAGGACATTATAATAAATCGAATCAAATGATTTAAATGAATCTACGCTAGTAGAGGAAGCTTCTAAATCGATATGAATGATGAAGGTCATAGGTGTAGGAAGCAAATAGAAACCATTAAAACATTTTGAGGTGTCTATCTGTGCAAAAAAAAAGGGGGGGTTTCCACTATTCGTCTCCCCCGTTCCAAAGCCTTTGAGGGCTCTTAAATGATGTCACCAAATTTTCAATATTTCTTAATTATCTCCCCTTGAAAGAAGAAGTGATCCTTTAGAATGAATTAACCACAGGCACCTGAAGTGAATATTTTTATTATACCGTATAAGAGCAATCTTTAAACGTGAGAAAAAGTAAGATCTTTTTGCATAGAACGGCATATAGATGCGTTTGGCGGGGGAATTTTATATTTTTGAGATATTATACACTCTTACATTTTTTCACTAAAAAAAAAGGGGGGGCTATTATCCACACTTCAGGTGCCTGTGAATTAACTTGATTTCCCATCATCCAAGGTTACTTTGTGGCAAGTTTGGTTGAAATTAGCTCAGTGGTTCTGGAATGGATTCAGAGATTAATAAATACATCCCAGCTTATCTTCTCCTCTTTCAGTTATGACTTGATTTTAATTATAGCAAAATTCAATTTGTCAGGAAAATGCCTTGTTATTCCCGAAAATCTCTTTTTCAGAGTCGTTTTAATTTGTTAATTTTTCTTTAAATAAACCATATTTTCTTTTATAAAACCATTCGCAATTCATTCCTGTATTTTCATCGGTCACAAAATCTAATTTTATGAAAGATTCTGCATTACACTATGATCGTAGGCGTCGGAACCCAAAGGGGGGGGGGGTGCTTAGCCCCCCCCCCTATTTTCGCAAAGATAGACTTAGTATAGGCATCGAACATTGCGGCGTAGTTTTAGCCCCCCCCCCTTTCCGCAGACATGTTGCAGTATAGGTTAATAATGTGGAAAAATTTGGTACTGAAAGAAGTTTGAAGGTTAACCTCCTCCTCCCCCCCCCCCCCCCCCCTCCACCACCACCACCACCACGAAATAGGATTTTCGTGATTGGAGAACAGACATATTTTCCCTTTTTTCTTTTCTTTTCTTTTTTCTGCATCAGTTTTACCCATGGCAGAATCGTAATGCAAATAAATATAAGTACAATTTCGAGAAGGAATTTCAATCAAATTAATAGACAATTTAAGACATAATAATACACAAGTTGCATAAACAATTGTTTTAATATATTTCAATTAATCAATTTACACATAGCTGCAGGACTCTCACTGTCTCTTTTTTAGTCAGTGAATATGAAATTTATTTATAAACTATAAAAACATTAACTAGTTACAATCAATTTAAAATCTTATATGAGGCTATATCTTTAAAAAATTGGTTGGTTGCCCTCTCCCAACCAACTGACTACATATAGGCTGACTCGAAACTTTTTTTTTACATTCTAGAACACATAATTTTTTTTCCTTTTTATTCCTCCTATCCCGTCACGTCGTCTCAAGCCACTGTAAGGAGTAGGCATATAGCTCTCTCCTACAGGGAGAGGTTCGTACATTTGGGTCGTGGTTTGTGATGATAATCCTGCCAACAAATATGTTGAAATTTTCTGGAAAAGATTTTCCCATCTACCTACCGACCCAATAATTTTATCCTAGCTGTGCAGGGAGAGAGCAAGCTAACAATATTTAAAAGATGGCCTGAGATTAAAAAAAAGAATAAATGCAAACTAAGAGAAAAAATATTTATCATGCTTAATTCTAGAAAATAATTTGAATATGAACATGATTTTCAAGGTTACTTATTAAGATGTGGAGAAAAAATAAAACGCATTTTCAAAACTATTTAAAACATTTGTTTGAAAACAAATTTCAAGGTAAAACTAAAATTTATCAAATATTGTTTTAAATAAGATGTCCCAGTTATTACATGTAAAAAGAAAAGATTGTAAAATCTACAGTGTATGTGTACTGCTTATAGGGTTACAGTAATACTAGTTTGCAAACCTCATGGGGTTTTCCGTTGCAAACAAGAATGCATTTAATGCAACAATTTGTTCACTGTCAAGCTAGCAATGACATACATTGTACATTCATGTAAATTAGGCACATAAAAAAGCCTAGGAAATACATTAAAATGATTTTCAAATGCATGCATGTGACCATAATCACTGTTATAACAACAATGGATAAATATCCATCCAGCCCATTACATTTTTGGGGAGGGGGTACTTCACTTCTAATTTTTATCAACTTTGACAGAAAATTTTGGACAACATACACAACTTCTTGAGTAATAATACATACTAAACACTAATACATGTATAACAAAACATTTATTATCAGCAAACACATCATTCAACCAGAAACAGTCTTATGAAATAATTAATTACGTTGCTAGCAATTACCATGATAGATGCTCATTTTATCTGTCATACACACCAAGTGAAGAAATTATTTACCGGTACACCCAGTTCAGAAACAATACCGATACTAAGATTTTTTGTCAATATACATGTACCTAATGTCTATAATTCAGTTTTTTCAAATACAAACCCTGGAAATTGTCCAATTTCTGTATTGGTGCCATTAATTCCATTTTCGTCAGGAATAAATGTGAAAGTGACCCCATCCACAGTAACCATGTCCTTTCCTGTTCTGCCATAATAACTTGTCGGTCCCTTCATCACCATTTCTATTGTGTAGACATTATCAGCCTCAAATTTCATTGGTGGTTCTATCTTCAGCAGATGGATCTTTTCCCTTCCATCAGACACAATTTCTTTATTGGGAATGGCTTTTCTAACTGTTCCGTCTTCCTTTATTTTCATGTCCACTTTGTAGGTGGCTTGTCTCTGATGGCTCCCATACAGCCAGACTCCATGTAATTTTCCAGAATGACTTGGAATGATTGATATGGAATCTGGATTATCTCTTAAATAGGCCTTCCCACTCAAAATACCCCCAAACCTCCATATTGTTATTCTGCCCATTTCATCTCTGAAATCATTGGGTACAGGCTGAGCACCGGTTGGCAGTTCCGTGGACCGTCTCTGGGTCGGTTCTGTTTGGTTATTGGTCCGGTGGTTATTTGCCCTCGGAGGTATGGGGGTTGTTCCATGACGTCCTGTGGCCAGTACCAGTTCTGAGGAGCTTTCTAGATCTGTCTCCATTTGTATGGATTCTGAGGAAGAAAGAACAGATCTGGAAAGATTTTCTGTAGTGGTGGTAGAATCTGCTTCCTGTCCACTGACAGATCTTTCCATGAGCTGAGGTGCCGATTGATCTACATTTCCTGTTCTTCCTGCAGGTGCTGATAAAGAGTGAGATGTTCTAACACTTCCTGATGGTTTGCTTACTAGTTTTTGAAATACAATGATAATCTGATTTTGCTCTAAAATACCTCTCTTTGAGATATTATTACTGAAATACTCCATTGACATCTCTTCAAATTTGATAAAATTCACAACTGGGGCAAGTAGGGCTTTCAAATTTGCATCATTAACTTCCTTTTGCTGTTGTCTGCATTTACTCTCTGCCCAAACAACTGCTACCTCATACTTTTTCTCCTCTGGTACTCTCAACTTGTCACTTTTCATAATATCAATTAAACAACTTTGTGGTAGTTCCAAAATTTCCTCAGTCTCTAACAAGTCAGAAGCATATCTATAAAAGTAGTGCAGTGCACTACTTTTCACATCATTGCTTCCCATGTCATATGCCAATTTCAGAACAAGACACACATTTTCTCTAGAAAGTTCTGCTTGCATTTTATAAAAACATGTTTTCTTTAGATCTTCAATTTTGTATTTACTGGCAGCTTGGAAAAGTTTCAGTGTTGAACGATTGTCAAAATCAACGTCATCAGTGTATATAAACCTGGAAATGTATAATGTGATAAAATGTTCAAACACGTTCCAGTGATATTCAATGATGATTAAAGAATACAAAAATATAATGCTTTGAAAGATTATTTACATTATCAGTAAACCACTCAACTGGCAGTATCCTAAGAAGCTGAATTTCAAACAAGACTTATTGAACAAACAATTTTTTTCTCTTTGTGTTATAATTTTATATAAGAGTGAAAAGCATATCTTGAAATTTTACAACATATTAAATTTTTGTGACAAGGATTTTTTTCCTTCTTTTAATATCTTTGTTTTAAATATATCATATACTCACATCAACATTTTTCGAATTGTATCAGGTTCAAAATCTGGAATATTGACTTCCAATAAAGTTCTCTGGCTTGTAAGTTTTGAATGGAAAACTGCACTGCGACTTATCAGCATGTATTTGTGGGCTTTAATCTTTTCCTTGCCCACAGCAAGTGTAACATCACACTCCACCTCATGTTCCAACATATACTTATTACACTGTGTCACAGTCCGGCCCGTGCGCCAATCCGTGTTTGCACTCATAGCCATTTTGTTGAAAAGAGAAGTACTGTAGCCTTATATTTCTAAAAAAGAAAAACCGTTGCTAAAAGAAAGAAACCAGCATCTGAAAAACAATAAATGTACCGTAACAATTTTAAGGATTTTAAGAACATTTGTAATTTCAAACTGAGACAGTTGCATGCAAATTCATTTTGAGTGAATTGATAAAAATAATCTGGGATCATATATGATCTTCCAAACAGCTTGAAATATACAAAACATATATCCCTAAATCATGTAAGTAAAACACCTCCCTTCTTACTTCCATTATCAATGTCTCTATTTGTAAAAGAAATAGTTGTTCTGATGTCACTCAGTGAAAAAGAAATAATAGTATTTTGGGGGAATATTCATTTGTTTGATTTTTGAAAGCAGATAGTTTAAGAGAACAAGAAGTTTGCGAATCCACACACGTGTACAGCTTTTGTACACGGCATCGAAGCCATGCATACTGAATCATTGTCATGTGAAGCAGTAGCGTAGAAACAGATATTTAATCTTCAAATGATATAAATTTTCAGTCTAGATATTATAATCATTTTCTTCAATCAGATATAAATACTGAGAGCAATCTGCAATGCATTTCATTTGGATGTATCATGTAATCAACATTTGTAGAAAGAATTCTACTTTCGTTTTGATTTAAAATCAAAATGTTGTCATTCATCTTTAGTCTATATAGCAAAATAACTCACCTCAACAAATCATACAAGAAATAATATGATGGAAGTCAACAAGTCAATACTTCATTAATAGCATATCATTAACTAAAAACAATATTCATTCTTTGAAATATGCATTCGCCATTTTTTTCCTTTCAAAGGAAGATAACTCGAGTATTGACTGACAAAAAAGGAAGTATTTCCTTGATCGACACGTTTGCGTTTTTAGTACAACTGAAGATGTTTGGCCTATATTTTTAATGAAATACATTCATGAGCGACATTTCCCGTAATTTGAAAACGTTTTATTAAACCCCCAAAACGAGTAAACGCTTATAAAATAAATAAAAAAGGAAAGTCAACCGTGACACCACCCACACCCACACCCCACAATGTGCTCCATACGGTCATGCAGTGTGCTGAGACTGTATCTAAATGATATACATGTAATGTAAAATCACACGTTTTCAAGGGGTCAGATTTTCAAGGTTTGAGGAAAAATATTTATTTGTGGGGATTTAATTTCTTAGTTGGAAAAATGAAGTAGTAATGCATATACTGGTATTAAATTTTACATTTCGTGGTGGTCATAAATTAGCGTGTCTCTCCATACCTCAAAACAACGATAATTAAAGCCCCACAAAAAAGTAGTGATTTCACAGTAATATGTGTATGATACTTTGTATCACAGTCATGAAATGATTATTTTGGACTCCGGCCACTCATGCATGGAACAACTTTTCTTCTTCTTCTTTTTTTTAAACAGACGTTCGGGTTAATTTTGTTTTGATATGTTAAAATTTAAAATGAATTTAAATTTTAATGTGTTGTCCCTGAGAGCGAAAGCATCTTTTTTTCCCTATGCATATTTAATTTATTATTATCTTATGGTTATTTATTTGTGTATAAATCTATATGAAATCTGGATTGCCAAATTTTGTCGTTCATGTCTTTCACATGATCATGTATTATTGTGTGTATATTTGTTTTATGTGTATGATGACATGATATCATGCAAATAAATACTACTACTACTACTACTACTACTACTACTACTACTACTACTTGTTCTTTATTTATTCATAGATTTACGAAACTATTACATGTTATTATTTTTTGACGATCGAGGGATTTTCAACCATGAAACACATATTTACTTTAAGACTTTTTTTTAGAATAAAACTTAACCCTAGAATATCATTAAGGGTATTTGAAGCATAATGGTTTCAATGATGTGGTGCCCCCTTTTTTCACCGATCAGAAATGGGTGAATTTTTGTTCACGACGTAACAATACACAAGACGTCACAATGTAGGCTGACGTCATAATACTGCTAAGCGTTTCATTTGTGTATCACAACGACAAAGTCGGATGTAATACATGTACCATGGGTTGCTTCAACAGCAAAGTTGCGCCACTCCCTCCAGTTGATCGTGTCCGAAACAAGAAGGAGCGGGAAAAGTTGAAAAAGATTTTGAAAATGCAGGGCATTAAGGCGAAAGTGTCAAAACGCGGGGTTGCTTTTGATGTTGCATTCTCCAAGGACTTCAGAGAGTCAAAACTTCCTCCTATCGGAATCATCGGCCCAAAGCAAAGTTCACACTACAAGCTATCATCTCCAGATGTGATTTGCAATGATCTAGGACGTAAGTTTTTTGGTATTTAATTATTTGTATCAATTTATATAATATAATATATGACATATAATAATTATCAAATTATGTGATATTTTTCTATTAATATTTATTTATATTTTTTATAGGAGAGAAAGCAATTCTTCAAGGAATTGAAGAAAAACAAGAAAAAGCTAGACTGAGAAGAGAGGAACAACAGAGGGCAATGAAAGAAAAGATGAGACGCCAATCTCTCAAACGTCAAACGAACTATAAACTTGGTGTTTTGTTTCATTTATTAGATTTATTAGAATGAATCATTAATAACATATAAATAAAATTGTTCTTTTTTTAATTTGTATTTTCTTTTGTTTTGCATCTGCAGATCAACCTTACAAGGAAGGCGGACATGATCTTTTTTACGACTCAATTCATAATTCAATAATAAAAAAAACCCACACACACAATATTGAGGAAATAGTTTTATTTTCCTGGAATGCATCTTCGTTCGCCAAAGGTTTTGGATATGATACATTTTCACAAACAAGATGCCTGGAATAATGCTTAACTATAGAAATCTGAAGATTTGGGGTTACTTTTCATGCTATGGTATAAGACAAATACGCCTTCCTTAAATGCTGAATAGTGAGTTGTCCAATTAAGTTTCAATATTTGAAATCCAACAGGCAGTATATATATTATATTTTTTACAATAAACGCAATAAATAGCCTACATAATTATGTGGGTGGCATATCTGATTACCTAGGTGTACGTATAATACCAAATACTCGGTACTTTTGCTTTTATTAGCTCACCTGAGCCGAAGGCTCAAGTAAGCTTTTCTGTTCAAAATTTGTCCGTTGTCTGTCGTCGTTGTAGTCGTTGTCGTCGTCGTCGTAAACTTTTCATATTTTCATCTTCTCCTCAAGAACCACTGGGCCAATTTACACCCAACTTGCCACAAACTATCCTTAGGTGAAGGGCATTCAAGTTTGTTCAAATGAAGGGCCATGCCCTCTTCCAAGGGGAGATAATTATGAATTAATGAAAAATTAATGGCATCTTTTAAAAATCTTCTTCTCAAAAACCACTGGGCCTGGAAAGATGAAACTCACGTGGAAGCATCCTCAGTTAGTGTAGATTCAAATTTGTCCAAATCATGACCCCTGGGGGTAGGGTGGGGCCACAATGGCCGATCAAAGTTTAACATAGGAATATATAGGGAAAAACTTTAAAAATCTTCTTCTCAAGAACCACTGGGCCAGGAAAGATGAAACTCATGTGGAAGCATCCTCAGGTAGTGTAGATTCAAGTTTGTTCAAATCATGACCCCCGGGGGTAGGGTGGGGCCACAATGGCCGATCAAAGTTTAACATAGGAATATATAGGGAAAATCTTTAAAAATCTTCTTCTCAAGAACCACTGGGCCAGGAAAGATGAAACTCACGTGGAAGCATCCTCAGGTAGTGTAGATTCAAGTTTGTTCAAATCATGACCCCCGGTGGTAGGGTGGGGCCACAATGGCCAATCAAAGTTTTACATAGGAATATATCGGAGAAATCTTTAAAAATCTTCTTCTCAAGAACCATTGGGCCAGGAAAGATGAAACTCATGTGAAATCATCCTCAAGGTAGTGTAGATTCAAGCTTGATCAAGTCATGACCCCCAGGGGTAGGGTGGGGCCAAAATTGCAGATCAAAGTTTTACATAGGACTAGATAGGGAAAACTTTAAAAATCGTCTTCTCAAGTACTTCAAAGCCATCATTAGTGATATTTATATGGAATCATTCTCAGGTAGTTTAGATTATAGTTTGTTCAAATTATAACCCCCAGGGATAGAGTGGGGTCACAATGGGAGATCCAAGTTTTACACTAAAATACATATTTAAAAAACTCTTTTTCTCAAGAATAGCAAAGCCATGATTAGTGATACAAGTATTTATATAGAAGCATTTTCGGGTAGTGTAGAATTAAGTTTGTTCAAATCCTGATTTGAATTCATTCAAATCATGGCCCTTTGGGGTAGGGAGGGAAACAATGGGGAATTAAATTCAAATTTTTATGAAGTTATATATATAGGAAGGAAATGTTTTTAAAAAAATCTTTTTATCAAGAACAGCTAAGTAATATGCTGTATTAACATGAAGGCATTCTCAAGTAGTATTAAATTCATCCTCCCCCCTTCAGTAAACTTTTCAGTTCTGATCTCATTTGTGCTTTTTCCTAGCTGATTTGCTCAGGTGAGTGATGTGGCCCCTGGGCCTCTTGTTTTGATCCTATTGCTTATCCAAAATAAGGATTGTGCGTAGTCCTAGAAGCCCATCTCCCAATTTTAATTGTTTTTTTTTGGGGGGGGGGGCAAACATTTTTAGTTGGGTGACCCTATGAAACAAAATTTCATCGAGAGGCAAAAATATTTTTTGTAATTCAGGGGATATAGTCATAGATTAAAAGTTTATATTTCTCAAATTTTCTGTATAAATTCACGATTTATATGCAGTTATAGCATTTTACACGAAAAATATAATCTAAAAAAATTACTTTATCTGGAAATTGTTGAAACTATGAATTTCGGGACGAGTTTGATTGATATATTCTCGCACTTTTACAAGGTAAACTTTATCCTTATTCAAACATTAAAAAAACTTTTATTCAACAATATCCTAGGTCATAACTTCTGAACAGTTGTTGCTTGGGCTTTTATATTTCAAAAGACAAGAAGTCCTGCATCGTCACAAGCGCGGGTTTTGTCTCTATTCCATTCCCATAAACTTCTGGAAATAGAAAAGACCCGTTTCTTGATACGATGGAAGTCCTGCAGAATTTATCCAAATATAACTGTTTCATGTTTTTTCTTTTTTTGTTTTTTTTTTCTTTTGCTAGAATAAATTAATTTTTGAAGACAAATTATTTTTTAAATCAACACCTTAATAGCATTTTGCTCCCAAGATGTTATATAATTATGGATTTCTTGTAAAAAGACCTTTCACTGGATACCAACATATTTCACTTCTTGACTTTATCTTGGAGCGTGACCCATTTCGAAAAAAATAAAATGCAGTCTAAGATTCTTCACAATATTGATTGAATGTTTTTAGGTTTCTGACTTAATTTTAATTGTCAAATTTCAGATTCCGACAACAACATTGAGCAAGCTTGGGATGATTCTGCTACCATGAATAAAATGATTTTAACCTTGGTCATAGTTCTAAACCGTTTGTTTTAGGGCTTTCTTTCCTCCTGACAAGACCTTCCATTAAGTATCAAAATTTGGCCTGATGACCTTGACCTTTGGTCTAACTCATAAATTCTTAATCTGTTATGGTTTTCTGGAAAATAATCATGACATTAAAATTAGAAGCAAATTTTTATTTATTACTGAAAATTAACAATGACTTATACAAATCATCATAGGCAAATTTGACAAAATAATTGCACATGTAAAAAAGCACCAGATGACAGAAATAGTATTACCATGTATTATAAAAATAGCATTGATTAAGCAGGGAGTGATCAACACTCCTACATTTCTGTTTGATCCACACCTTTGTTGAGTCCCTAATCTCTAATGAACTAGCAAAAAAATGAAAAATCCAAAACAAAAAGGGAGCACTCAAGGTAGTGGACAAGGGAATTTGTGCTGAGCTACTGAGAGAAATATCAGATTGCCTAGAGATTACTTAAAACAAACATGGCCTGAGAAAGACCAATGGATACTATTCCAGGTCTTTATCAGTTATGAGAAAAACAATCAGATATGTGTGCAAACTCCTGATGTAAAAAATAATCTTCACAAGATAAATCTTCAACAATGCACAATGTACAATAAAATGAAGGTAAAGAGGAAAAAAAGATAACTGACAAAGAGGTAGGATGCTATTGTGTGCACATATTCACTTTTTCTCCTATTTGGTATCAAAATGTTAAGGTATAAATTAAAAATTTGATAAAGTACATGTAACTTACGATCATGTTAATCTCAAATATATTTATAAAATTATGCACCTGTTTTACCAGCTGTCAGACTACGTCAGCTGGACAAATGTTACAGAATAACCTAATAAAATGATGTTGTGTTCAGTAACTTTGGGACTAATGTACAAGTTATATCAATTATAACAGTTTTTAACATTTAAAAAATGTTCAGATATTTTAATTGACTTGTTGAGTATGCAGTCTCTGATTCGGAGCTCAATATCCATTAGAATTGGATATCATGACTTTTTGTCTATCATGCATGCTGAAGTATCATGGTTTAACTATTAGAATTTTAAATACCCTTTTTATTTTTCTTGAAAGTTCATGCATACATGTTTCATATATATCCTAAGCAAAAATAATTAATTTCTATAAGGTGCATGTTGAAATGTAAACTCTTTTGAATAAATAATCAAAACCAAAAAAAATTATTTCTTCCTTTCTACAAGTTTATGATGATATTGACAGCTACGGCTGGTCTTGTGAAGCACCAGTCTTTGAGTATAAACACTGTGAGTACTAGATTTGTTGTTGACTTGTTCAGTTGATGCTTTAATCAGACTAACAGTAACACACATCAAGCACCATAATTTAAGCGGTGAAATGACAAACAAGTTAGAGAAAATTCTATTACCATATTTTTAAAATTCATTTACATGTAGAAATGTCTGTATTTTGATAGCAATAAGTAATTTTTTCTTAGGAAAAAAAAAGTTTTACACTTCAGAAATTCTTACACTACAAAAGAAGGATATACTGAATAAGTAATGAAGCAATGGCCAATATCAATTGATATACTGGTACTCTGTTTCTTTTAAATGAATCGATATGGATAGCAAAATGTGAAAAAGATAGCCTTCCTTCAAATTTTACTTGTTGCAAATTTCATTTAAATGTTAAAAGGTAATATTCACTCAAAGCTGAACTTGCATTTTATATTCATGCAATCATCATGCACACATACATATAACATTATTCATCATAGTTAACAAGTTTAACATATATTATCAATAATATACTGCATTAAAACATTAACATATAACAAGCAAAAGGGAAAAAACAAACAAAATCACACAGGATCACACTCTATCACAGAAAAATGCCAACTTAATCTCAACTTGCTTTGATGATTTATCACATATACACTGTAACAATCCTGGCTGGGACTGAGCATTAGTATTTACATGGTGCTATAAAAAGGATTATTACGCCGATATTCAAGTTTCGTAAGTGGGTGACTCCGCCCCTGAAGCTTGCGGACTTTTCTTTTCTCCTTGTCAGCTTCACAGTCTGCATCATCTGTGCTCTTTCTTTGCTGCATTCGAGTGTTCACTTTCTCTCTTAATGTTTCTAAGCTACATGCAGGAGTTGTGTTGGATCTTT